GCTACGTCCATGAACACGTTGATCACTTGACTTTCACAGAAAAATGAACTTATCCAAACCAATATTAAAAGTAATAATACGATAGAGTTGTATATTTTCTAAATGAAAACGTTTTAAAATAGTGTAAAGTTATTATTAAAACGCTGTAAAAAGCTTTAAAGAAAAATAACTTAACTTCGTACAATTTTACACCACCCTTCAAGTTTAAAAATTTATAGAGTATGTTCTATGTGTATATATACATTTACTTATACAGTGTATTTGCATTATTACTGCTATACCATTTTTTTTTTGTAAGTTAATGGCGCATGAAAAAATGGGAAACTTTTTCCATTTTATTATGAGTACAATGACTTAAATCAATTTTTATAACTTTGTAATAGGTATCAAAATATATAGTAATACCATCATTTTTTTGTAGAAGCTATACTTATTTTTTTTTTCCTTTTTCTTTTTTTATATATAAAGTTTATGAAGATTAAGGTCACTATATATCAATACCTGTTGTATACAATCATTGTAAATTGATTAAAACTATTTATTTTATATTTTTATAGGAAATAATAAAACTTCTTCCTTTTCCCCTTTCACTTTTTTCCCCTCTAATTTTTCATACAGCTATTACAAGAAAAATTCCAAGAAGTAATAATGCAAACATTCTATATATAATTTTTAATTAACTATTACGCTCAAAATGAAAATTAGAATTTTCAAAAAAAGTTGAAAATGTTAACATTTATTATACTATGTATAAAAAAAGTAAATTATAACAGCATTCTATTCATTAAAATCTGTTTTATTGAAATGGATTTTAAGCGTGTTATTGATAGCCAAAGTTTAGCCAGTATTTAATTTTAGGCAATATTTATATTCACTTATGTGAAATAATAAAGCAAAATAATATATCTCGTTTTATATGTATTAGCACGTAATAATTTGAAATATTATAGTAAATAAAAATAAGTATCAATCAAAGATAATGATATTAAAATTGTTAACAGGGAAGAATTGAAGACCGAGCAGATATCTAATCAAAAGTTATCTAATCAATGGGACTTCCTTTTTTCCTGATAATATTAACAAATAGAGTCCTGTATGCAAATTACAGGATAATAGATTTGTTACAAATTTTTTGTTGTTCTTTTTTTTATATATATGAACTTTATAAACACTAATCACTATAAAAACTTACACAAAATCTTTCCACATTCTCTAATTTAGAATGTCAATGTATTTGCATATTTTTGTATATTTAAATACTTATTTAGGACAAAATAGCAATACTACGTCTAGGTCCACCTATGCAAACATTATCTAAACTATACCACTTTTTTATACCAGTACGTAGGGCTTCAGCTGTTACCTTATCTTCGTAGACTCTGGACATAGCTTCTAATTTTTGCGCTTTTTCCTTACTAAGTGGCTCACTGGGGAATGTTAATTCATTTGCTTCTGCAAGTGTGCGTAAATCAAAATAGTACTTGGCATACACACTTGAAGGAACGTTTATATTAAACTGTAGCATTTCCAAAAATTGTCTCTCCAATTCGTTCCTACAAAAAATCAAATTTTTAAAAGATTTTAACATAGACAATTACACACACAAAAAAAAAAGAAAAAATATTATAGAGTAAATTGTACTCTCCATATTTTTAACAGTGGCATAATCAATACGGTTTGCAGTTGTCATATATGAGATATATATATATACATATATATCTGTGTCTTTTTACTTATTTCATGCTTATTAAATTAGATAATTTCACAAAAAAAATGAATGACAGAGAAAATTTTCTTATATTTTTCTTTGCAATTTTTTTTCTTATACTCTTTTTATAACCATTTAATAAATATTATAAGTAATATAGAAGAGTGAAACATGCAGTACTTTGAAATACCTTATAAGTTTAGCTGAAAGAAAGATTCAAAAAAAGTACTATCGAATGACAATGTTTTTTATGCTAGTATTATGTATATAAATTATTTATTTTAATTTAATGTATATAACTGAAGAATACTTACATATCTTCTACCGTAATATCTTTTAAAATTTGACAGTAATCTACGTTCCACACAGCCTGATCATCCCATACTTTAGAAGCTAATAAAATAGCTCCAAGTACTATACGTTTCCAATTAGCTGGTGTTATATCTATTTCTGCATAAGTAAGTAGACGTTCAAGATAAACTAATGTTATGATGGCACATTCAGCTGTCAATTGAGCAGCATTAAATAGAGTCCTTACAAATTTATATATTTGTTTGTGCTCTGGATTATGTTTATCATAATCATCCGCAACACCGTCCCTCTAAAAAGTAATAAATATAATCATGTAGTTATATAACTTTTCTGATATTCTAATAATTAATAAAAAAAAATATACATATATATATATATATATATATATATATATATATATGTATATATTTCCAAAATTACCGTTAAAGGATGTAATTTTTCATCGAATATATCAATTTGTCTGTGTGAAGTTCTATTTTTTATGTGATAATAAACGGCTAAGGCAACACATTTCACAGTATTTTTTAAATTAGGTTGCGAAACGGTGCTGTCGTCCAAATATATTGTACTACAACTGCTACTTTTCTTGAGAGGCCTTGTATCTGCTATTTGATGTTGACTCTTTTTTCTTACCATACCATCTATCAAAAGAAAAAAAAAAGAAGAAGAAAAAAGAAATTATTATTGAAAATATCGCTCGGTGATTGAAATTTATCTATAAAAATATAGCTTGGTTTTCAGACAATATCATAAATCTATACAAAAATATACTTACTTTCAATCGCTTGTTTAGATCGTTCCATGAAAATAGTGCCTGCGCAAGGATGTAGCGATGGATCAGAGTCCCAGTCTTCTGGTTCTCGTTCACTAATGTGCTGTAAATTATTAACACTGATACCTCCTTCTGGAAGATGTTCTTCAAGGCCCCTTGTGACACCTTCAACTGCTAATTCCTTACGTCCAACTTGTGGACTGGAATAAACACAGCAACTGTTTTTGTTCCCCATTTCTTTCTTTCTTTCTTTTTTTATTACTTTTTTTTTTTCTTTTTTTTTTTCCTTTCTTTATTTTCTACAAAAGATCCTCCACAGTTTGTGTCTTCTTCTTTGAAAAATTTTCAGGCGATACAAGTGATAATAACAGAATGAACAGCGAAACGAACGAATGGTTTTCTTTAAAAGGAATTTTTTCTAGTTGTTCACATCTCGTTATACACTGTGATCAGCTGACAAAACGTACGAAATGCATAGTACACATTGTTCCATCCCATTTACTCATTTCAATGCTAATATGCACCGCATGCACTACCAAAAATGTTGCCTTGTCAAACTATTTCTTTCTCCCTTTTTCTTTCTATCTATCTATCTATCTATCTATCTATCTATCTATCTATCTATCTATCTCTTTCTTTTTTCTCTCTCTCTCTTTCTCTCTCTCACTCTCTCTCTCTGTCTCTCTCTTTCTTTCCCTCTTTCTCTTTCTATTTTTTTTTTCTCACGATAGATAGAACACTTTAATAATATCGTTTGAAAATAATGTAATCGTTGTTAATATCTCTCTATCTTCTAATTCGTATCAACGTATAATTGCTTTTACAATTGTCAAGGAACGCAGCAGTGCCAACGCCTTGAAGTTTTCCTCGTGCCGGTCGACTTTTCCTCGAGGTTTAAGCTACACGAGCTAAATTCTCGAGAGAAAATGTGACTCTTGATGTGGCTCATTGTCGTCGTTTATAATTCCCATTGTTAAACGCGCATCAAAAAGCGCGAATATCCTCGCGGAAATTTCTTTTGTGATTTTTCACTATCTGCCACTAACTTTTCGTTATACTTATATATGTATGTACATATGTGTATGACTCTACGGATACCAATGTATTAAATATTGACGCATGAAACATACAACTACTAGAAATGCCGATGTAATACATGTGCCGTTATGTCTTTAATTTGGACAATTCAGAAATAATCCTTAGCGTCGCCATCTTTCGATAAAGGATATCCTTTAATTAGCTTAAAACCGGAAATTACCTATTGTAACATCATTTGTCAAATTCCATTCAAAGGTTATAAATATGAAATTTATTTAATAATCATTTTTATTCTCATATATTATTTATCAAGTATAAATTGTTTTTATTTTTTATTTAATTTCTTTTTTTTTTTTTTAGGTTATAAAAAGACGATATTTTTATTTGGAAAATATATCAACAATTTTATTAATTTCCCACATTATTTCTTTCTACTTTCATTTTTTAACTATTCGAGTATTTTCATTGGTCATACGATTGAACTCATTTATGATTGTTAGATTCGATATTTAATTATATTTATAAATGTATATTGTAATAATTATAAATTTTATAGTAAATACGAAACTTTGATATGTTAATATAAAAAATAAATAAATAAATAAATAAATAAATATATATATATATAACTAATTTTTTAACTTCTTAATAATAATTTATTTCATATTAAACTTGCGACTATAAATTTACTGATAATTATAACCAGAATGAAATTATTGAAATTTCATAAAATGAAATAAAAATACAAATTAATTTTTTCTTATATAAATTTTACATATTGCATTTATTTTTTAATTAAAAAATTTTATATATATATATATATATATATATACATATACATATATATATTATATATATATATCATTATATAATATGTACATATATATTATATATATATATATGTATATATATCGTTCATGTTTATAAAAATAAAAAAAATAAATCAGTTACGATATTCAAACTAATAAATCTTATACATTTGCTACAAAACATATTAATTTGGCAACTCCTTATTCATAACATATCTAAGAGAATCAATATTGTAAAAATAGATATTATAATTATTTAACATATTGCTTGATAATAAAACTTTGGTCATAATAAAATTATTTGTAATGTTTGAAATTGTCTTTTATAAAATATATTAAACATAATAAAATAACAGTAGACTTAATGAAAAATTATGACAAAGAGATAATTATCATGCTTATTTTAAGAAACAGAAACGAAAATGTTAAAATATAAAAAATAATTAAAATTAATACTTTAAGAAACTGTGTTCGTGTTATTACTAGATGACTTTTTTATAAAACATGGTTCCATCATGTGAGAATAATTTATATTCAAAATATTCGATATTATTCCATTCGTTTCTGGTTCCAGAATACTAAACTTTCCTGAAGGAATGGTACCATTATATATTTGATCTAATCCTTCTGAAAATTGCAGTTAATAATGGATTAACTTATAACTTGTATTTAATTTTATAATTTGAAAGTTAGTAAGATAAGTAATAAAAATACCAATACTTACTTATTACTTTAAGAGTGAAAACATTGGTTTGTTGGTTTAATCCCATAACCTGCGCTACAATTATTTTAGACATGTGTGGACTGTAATCTTCCCCAATTCTTAACATCTGTGAAACATCATTTAATATTAGAATATATTTTCAACTTACTTATATATATAATATTAATTGTACTTTGAAATTTTATATGTAATATTAATATGTACTTTGAATCCAATAATATCATTGTTTTGTACATCGTACATTTGTGCAATAGGATATTGTTCAAGTTCTACATCAGAAAATGATTGATTTTTAACATCGTGATTAATTTCTTTTCCGGATGTATTTTTTTTAACTGTATTATTCAATGTCTCATCTGTTTTTTCATTAGGAATATCTATATTTTCAACTTCTACATTAGAAATATTTTGCGTGTTAACGATTTCTTCTTTTATTTTTTTATTAGGAAATGTAAGAGGCGTAGAACTGTTCCTTAAACTAAAAAGTTTAGATAATGCAGGTTCAATCACAAACTGTTGCATCATTTCTATTTCATTTGTTTCAGTTGTATCAAATCTTATATGCTTTCCTGAAGATAAAACAAGAGAATCTACTATCTTAGGTTTTTTTGTTGTATTATTCTTGTCATTAGAATCTTGTACAGATGTTGATATATTCTTCTTTCCTTTTCTATGTCGTACTCTTTTACGTTTCATTGAATTCGTTTCTTTCTCTATAAAACTACAATCTTCCATTATATTACTATTCATTGTTTTATAATCTGTACAATTATCGTCTGTATCATTTTCTACGCTGTAAAATGTTACATCTATAGAAGATAAAATTGTAATTTTATTATATATTACAAAAGAAGATTCTTTAATATGTTAAATATAAATTTAATATAAACATATGTATATAAATAAAAAATTCATACCTTGTTTTGAAGCTGATGAAAGATCATTTGACTGAATAGTAATATCTTTAGTAGGAACTTCCATAACAGAAAATTCAATAGTTTGTACTTCTTTATGATTAAATGTTTTGTTCCCTTTGTTTTCACTGTTATCATTATCTTGTATAAATGGTGATAAAAAATTTATAGATGATTCTACTTCATTTTCTAAACCACTACCTGGTATAACGCTGTGACAAAAATGAACAAATTATTATTTTATTTTTAAGAACATATATGATACATTATATAATTAAAAAAAAACATACATAATTGTTTCGTTCTCTTTTATAATTCGTGCATCTTCAGACGGTGGTAAATATTCGGTATTATTTAAACATAAATGATAAGGTTCACGAATGTTAAATAATTTTTTAATATGTTTTTTCATATCAGAAATTTGTAAGATTTTAGTTCCATCGACGAAAATCCAACAAAATCGTCGAATATCATGATAATATTTCGATAAATCGACTTTTATACGAAAATCTGAACGAGCCATGTTTATCGATGGCTATTTAATTTATAAACGTTAATAATAAAGAAGGCTTAGTTAAATTCAAATACTCTCTTGAAACCACCATCAAAATAATTGCCTACACTTCTTTGCTGGTAAAGTTAGGTGACTTAATGGTATATCGGTGTGATATATTTTTATTTGTATGATTAAAAAGTATTACCAACCAAAACTGAAAAAGTAAAATAAATTAACTAAATATTTTACCAAAGAAGTTGATCGATTTTTTTTTATACATTAGTATTTTATTTAATGTTTTCTTTTGTTTTTTTTTTATTTTTTTTTGTTTTTTTTGTTTTTTTTTTTAGAAATAATTTAATGTAAATATATACTACTTCATTATATTGTATTACTATTATTTTTTTACTATGTTATTAAAATTTATAATAATACATAGAAAACTTTTATTAATAGTAATTATAGTAAGAACAAGTAAAACGAATCATATATGTACTTATTTTATCTTTTCTTTTTTATAAATGTTTAATAATTAATAAGCAAAAAAAGAAAAAAAATATATATATATTTATATGTATAAGAGAATAAAAAGTTTTAAAGGAAAATATTATTTTAAAAATAGTTCTAAAATATATATCCTAGATATATATTTTAATGTTACGAATATTTCAAATGTTTATGTTGGTAATGGGATACAATAAGCGGGAAAAATTAGCCGGTATAACCAGCAACACAATTGAATATGATACAACGTAGTTTCCTGAGCGAACGTATGCTTTGTACTAAGATTGATAGGTTTGTAATAAAATAAATTTATCATTAGTTATACTTGTTATATTAATCATTATTGTAATTATCTAATTTCTTTATTTAGATCATTTATTAGCATAATCGTATATTGTAATATATTACAATTCTGAACATTTTTAACTTTGTGCTCTGTTGAAAGAAGAAATAATTCTCTAATTTGCTTTTTTATAAATTATAATTAAGAGAATAAACATGATTCCTTTAACAGAAGGATCATTAGATGTAAGTATAACAAATATAAATTTTGATATAATATCATTGTAACATATTGTATGTTTACATTTTATAAATATTTTGATGATGCTTCTCTTTAGAAAATCATGGCAGGCATTGATGTTGAAAAACCAATCCTACAAATATTGGTAAGAAAATGTTAAATGTATTTATATGTATATATTTGTGTATTAATAAATCTTTTAGGTTATATCTTTAGAACATCTATACATTTTATATTCTGTTATATTTGTAATATTTATTGTTTATAGCTATATGCAAAATAATATTATATTATTTTTTTAATATAGGGTCATAAAAAGTTAGCAAGCTCCAGTAGTGGAGATCGTTATAGATTATTAGTTTCTGATGGCAAAAGAGTAAATTCTTTTACAATGTTAGCTACACAATTAAATTCAATGATAACGGATAATATTTTGACTGAATTTTCAATATGTCAAGTTAATAGATATGCTGTAAGTACTGTCAATAATGGTGGAAAACAAAAGTAAGTATTAGACTTTATGTATTTATTAATGTTATCAGAAAGAATGTAATTGTTAATTATTTATATATATATACATGTTTGTTTATATTTAAATAGACGTGTGATGGTGATATTGAGTCTTGATTTAAAAGTATCTGGTGAAGAAGTTGGTTCCAAAATAGGAAATCCCACAAATATTGATAGCAATACAAACACAGAAGCTGAATCAAAAAAACCACAATCTATACAAACCCCCAGTGGTAAATATACAAATACTCTTGTTTTAATAGTTATTTTTAATAGTAATTTTTCAGGATTATTGGAAATATAATAACAATTTTTTACATTATGATATTTGATTAAATTACAGCCGTTACTATTCAAAAGAATTCTGTAAATCATTCATCTTCTGATATAAATACAACTCCTATTGTTGGATTAAGTCCATATCAAAATAAGTAAGTTGTATTAACATAATATTATACATTAAAATAAATTGACTAAATCTTTATGTAAAATGTAATTCATCTAAATGTAATTATTTGTTAATTATTTGTATTATAGATGGGTTATTAAAGCAAGAATAACAAATAAATCTAATATTATTACATGGTCTAATTCTCGGGGTGAAGGAAAATTATTTTCAATGGATTTAGTTGATGAAAGTGGCGAGATAAGGTGTACAGCATTCAGAGATCAGTGTGATAAATTTTATGATATGATAGAGGTGTGTACGACTCATATTTTCTAAAATTCTTACTTCAAGTTATAATTTATCTTTTGTATTTAACTAGGTTGGAAAAATTTATTATATTTCACGATGTAATTTAAAACCAGCAAATAAAAATTACAGTACTTTGAAGAATGATTATGAAATGAGTATGACTCAAGATACAGAAATTATTTTATGCCACGATGATGTGGATGATATTCCAATGATTCAGTTTGATTTTGTACCAATAAATACTATAGAAAATAAAGAAAAGAACGATATTATAGGTATGGTGTATACACTTGTATATATATATTTATATATAAATAATTTACATTGATTTATTTGGATCTATATCTGTTATATCACAGATGTTTTGGGAATTGCAAAATCTTGTGAAGAAATACAGACACTAAGAGCAAGAACCACAGGCAGGGAACTTAAAAAGAGAGATGTTATGTTGGTAGATGAAAGTAATACCATGGTAAAAGATTGGTTATTAAAAAAAAAAAAAGAAAAAAAAAAGATATATATTTGTGTGATATATAAAATTATAGCAAAAACATTAACAACATATTATAGGTATGTTTGAGTTTGTGGGGTGCAGATGCTGAAAAGTTTGATGGAAATAATAATCCTGTTGTGGCTATTAGAGGCGCACGTATTGGTGAATTTAATGGTGGAAAAAATCTTTCCGCTGTAATGTCTTCTGTTATTCAAATAGATCCTGACATACCAGAAGCTCACAAGTATAGTCATTAATATAAAAAGACTTTTATTTTAATATTTCATAATATTTTAATACTATTAAAGAGATATATATCTTTTTCATTTTTTTTATATAGATTACGTGGGTGGTATAATACTATAGGAATGTCTGATCAAGCTAAAAGTTTATCTACGAATAATGCACGTGGAGGTAGTATGAATGGAACATGGTTAACTATAAAAGAAGCACAAAATATAACAAGTTCCAGTGAAAATGGTTTCAATATTTTCATTTCAAAACTTACTGTTAATTTGATTAAAGCCGAAAATGTTGTTTATAAATCATGTCCGGTTGATGGCTGTAATAAGAAAGTATGTAAATCTTTATTTTAATTTATGGTATTTTACAAATTTATTGTAAAATAACAAAATTCTTTTTGTTTTTTTTTTAATTTTAAGATGATAGATCAAGCTAATGGAATGTACAGATGTGAAAAATGTAACAAAGAATTTCCAAGTTTTAAGTACCGCCTCCTTGCGAATGTATGTACTTGAATATGTAATTACTGTTTTATCAAGATAAATGTATAAAATTTCTCTTTATTTAAAATTTAATATAAAATTTATTTTCAAATCGATTTTGTAGGTTAATTTTGGAGATTGGCAAAATAATCAATGGGTAACAGCCTTTAATGATGAAGCCGAGAAATTATTAAATGTAACGGCACAAGAATTGGGTGAATTACAAGAGAATAATAAAGATGCATATATGGACAAGTTTTCTGAAGTTGCATTTCAAAGTTTCATTGTGAAACTACGTATGAAAATAGAAACGTTCAATGTTAGTTAAACATTATATCATATATATGTATATATATTTTAATTTAATACAAATGATTTTGTTTTATAGGATGAAACAAGATTAAAAGCAAGCTGTTTATCGATATCACCAATTGATTACAAAGTATATAATGATATCTTGTTAACAAAACTTAAAGATATCATTGGGATTGAAAAGCTTTAAGTTGTCATATATGTTAATTTGTTATAATGTATTACGCTATATACCTATTATGATTTTTATTTAAGTTAATTGTTAGATATTTATATCTTTTACCCTTTGCACATTTATTTTTTCCTTTTTTTCCTTTTATATATATAAGAAAATATTATAAGTCTATATTTGTATTCAAATAAAATTTATCCAAATTTATCAAATCAAGATAACATATTTAATAATACTTTTTGTCATATATGTGTAGGCATCATATATTAACCTTTATTCTATGAAATGATATGTAAATCTAATTATATGCAGTATTTCTCAAAAATAATAAATATGTATACCAACAAAAGAATTATATATATATATATTTTTTTATTATCTTTAATATGGTATGTCTGCTTTGTTCTTATACAAAGATTTTAACCTTTTATCAAAAAAATTAATTTCTTAATTTTTTTTATGCAAATCGTATCATATAAATAAAACAAAAAAAAAATTATCTGTTAGTATAAAAATAAAAAAATAAAAAAATAAAAAAATAAAAAAATAAAAAAAGAAAAAATGAGTATAGAAGAAATTAAAAAAAAAAAAATCTATACAACAGCGAAATAAACCGATTTGAAAATTCTGTGTTTTCGTTCGCCATTTCGCAAATCACGTATGTCATATATATATGTGTATGTAAGCCGGCGCTTTATGTGAGCTGATGCCCATTAGAAGGTTACGTTTGGAACGACATTATTTTTGAGTTATAAATCCTTAAAGTGTTCTTTCGATTTGTGCGATAGAAGAAATCTATCATGGAAGAGTTAATGCAGCATTTAAGTAAAATAAAAGTGCCACAAAAAGGCGATAAAATATATAAGGATGAGTGTGTTTATTCATTCGATACACCAGTAAGATATTTTTTTTTTATACATTCTAATAATATTAAAAGCAATCCATATTAATAGCTATCTCTATTAATTTTTTGTTAAAAGGATACGACTACGGGCTTATATATTAATCTAACAACATTTTTGGGATTGGGACAAGATCATGTTCTCCATTATTATCAGTTAACCAATAATCCTGTCTTTCTTCACATAAAACGTACAAAAAAAGAGGTACGTTATAAATAACTATTCTTTAATGCAATTTTAATCCATATATTCTTTTTATTACAATGTATTTTAACCTTGTAGATTGTATCCGATCAAAAAGGAGACGGTCCTGAAAAAAAGATAACGAGA